GTTCTATAGACTTCAATGGAAACGCTGCAGAAAAGCATGTAGTGCATTATTGCTGTGTTTGTCCCGCCTTTTTTTGATGCATTTTGCATTTTAAATCTGCCTAGCAGCAAGAAAAAAACGAAGGCAAAATACATCAAAAAATGCATCAAAAAAACATGTTCAAAAATGCAAAACTCACTGCAGAAATGGATCATACGCAAACTGCATAGGTGTGAACCTAGCCTAAAGGTAGTGATCCAGCAGCTGAGAGTAAGGCTGGCCATACATTATACAATTATCTGGAGATTTTTGGTTTAGATTTACCAAAAACCATATAATAGGAGGACAAACCTAAACAACACTTTCAGTTGTATCCAATTAGGCAGGCCCTTGCACTACACAGTAAATCTAAAGGAAATTGGGCAGAAAATTGGAAGATAATTGTATACTGTATGGCCAGCCAAAGTTTTTAATTGAGGAAATTTGTGGTCAGCAGCTAAGATGCCAGCTAAAAGGTCACATTCTAGTTTACTCCTGTGCACCTTCAGTAAGGTAAGTTACTTCTGAGGTTGCACAAAGATACACTTCTGGAAGCTATAGCACAGTGCAAATTTCTCCTAAAGTCAACTGGCTAGGCCACTCCAGGACCTTTAATGTGCTTCTTCTTGAGCCACTCCTTTGTTGCCTTGGCTGTGTGTTTTGGATCATTGTCATGCTGGAACACCCATCCACGACCCATTTTCAATGCCCTGGAAGAAAGTTCTCACCCAAGATTTGATGGTACATTTGCCCGTCCATCGTTTCTTTGTGAGTTGGCAAATATTCAAAATCAGCAGGGGATCAAATACTTATTCAAATACTTATTTCCTTCACTGTAGGCCCCAGGGTATTTATATAAAGGGCTATTTTAGTTTTGGGTGGATGACTCAGGATGAATAATGCACTCATTTCAAATGCAACACTGAAAAGATTAAAACCAATCAGGCTCCATGCACACTAGCGTTTTTTATAAACTCAAAAAACGCTAGAAAAAAAGCGGATTAGGACAGCGAGATGTGTCTGTGTCCGCTCTGCAGAAGCGGAGCGGACATTTTAGGACCTGTTGTCTGCTTGCTCAGAAGGGGATGAGCAGACAGATCCACTGCTGAGCAAGCGGATCTGCTAATGCAGGGCTTGAAATTTCTACTCACCTACTTACATTTGGCTAGTGAAAATAACATGGGGGCGAGTGTGTCCCAAGCGCTGCATCGGACGGTGGGGGGCGGGTGCTACCAGCAACACCAACCTGCCCCGAGCACTGTGTTGAGGGAGGGCGCACTGCTGGTGCGCTCCTCAGTGACCGGAGTGGTCGCAGTTTCACTCCTGTCACAGGGAGCAGCTACTGACACTTGCTGGATGGAGGACTAGGCTTTCTCCTCCCTCCTGCCTGCTGGGAGCAATAGACAACCGGCACTAAGGAGTGAAGGCAGAGTGTCCTTCCTCTCTCCCCTTCTCATGTGACTTATCACATGACCGAAGGAGGGAAAGAAGGAGAAGCTGCATTCACAAGAAGATCTGTGAGTATAAGGGGGAAAGGTGAGGTTCCACTTATGGAAACACCTGATGTAAAGGGGGACTCTGATGGGAACACCTTATATAAAGGGGGACTCTGATGGGGACACCTGATGTAAAAGTGGACTCTGATGGGAACACCTTAAATAAAGGGGGACTCCGTTGGGGACACCTGATGTAAAAGGGGACTCTGATGGGAAAACCTTATATAAAGGGGGACTCTGATGGGAACATCTTATATAAAGGGGACTCTGATGGGGACACCTAATATAAAGGGGGATTCCTGATATAAAGGAGGACTCTGATGGGGACACTGATGTAAAGGGGGACTCTGATGGGGACACTTATTTTAATTTTATGTTTACATTGTTTTATGTTAACCACTTGCCCTCTACACTCTATTAAGCTATTGCTGTTATGTTTAACTGACATAATAAAGCTATGTTATAATTGCTGTTTTCTATATTTTGGACTCTTTATTCTAAAGAAAAATGTAATTTCATAAGTTTTAAGGGGGCATGGTTGGGGGCGGGGTTGGGGGACGGGCCTGGGGTAGGGTTGGAGGCGGACCTGGGCAAGGTTTGGTTGGGCAACTGGTGGAGAGTAAGGTTTTTGCCTGGCTAGTAGGTCTAGAGTTGAAATGTTAAGCCCTGCGCTAATGGGTCCATCCCGTGTGAAAGGGGTCGAAGTGTCCAGGACCGATCTTCTGCAGGTAATCACTGCATGACCAATTACATGTGAATGGGCATGAATACCTGTGGGAGCTGTCAGCCTCTGATCGCTTTGACTGGGGCTTCACACCTGCAGTTATTTGTAGGGAACTCCACTAAGTCTACCACTGATAATTGTAGTTAGTTTAGGGTGATGTTAATGTTAAGGCTTAAAGGGGACCTTCACTTAAAAAGTAAGCAGCTATAGGAATTCTATAAATCACATCTGTCTTCCATATCCAAAATGGCGACACCAGAGAGCCAAAGCCTGGCAAAGAATCTACTCAAGAAAGACAGCTCTGGACTCCACAGGCCCAAGTGACTATTTCTTAAAGGGGAAGGACAGCCAAAACTCTTTTGGCTGTACTTCTCCTGTGGATCACAGGAGTGCAGTTTGCTCTGATGTCGGGATCCACCCCAGAGTCTGGAGCGGCACTTGGCTCAGCCTCTCAGCGAGGCACTGAGAGCCTGAGCCAATCCCTCTCTCTCTCCACAGCCCATCACTCCAGTGAGCATGAAAAATCAGTATCTACAGTATTTGTAGCTGCTGACTTTATTTTTTTAAAGAACAAGTAAAGTTAGGCAGGCTGTACATTATACATTTATTTAATTCAGCCAGTGGGTTTAACAAATAAAATGTGCAGATTCCCTCATCCACACATTCGAGAAGGATCACTCCTGCTCTGAGTGTTGCCTGCTATAGCTGCGGCACTAAAGGTGGTTGTACAGAAGTTGATAGATCAACTTCTGTACAACCAGGGTGCCCATACATGGATCTAAATTCGTCTGGGCCCTATTAAACTGGCTAAATTTTGATCCATATATGGTTGGCTTTAGTTTTTAAAGTGATTCTAAAGGTTCTATTATTTGTTTTATAACAAACATGTCATACTTACCTGTTGCTCTATGTGTATATGTCACAGAATGTGGCTCAGCCTGGCCTCCCGCTCCCTCTTTACTGGCTGTGATTGACAGCTGATGCCAATGGCTCCCGCTGCTGTGTCTCAGCCAGTGAGGAGGCAGAGACCCAGGAGAGCTTGTGCTCACATGCACATCACTGGAGTATAAGGGGGGGAGCTGCACACACTGAAGGTTTTTTACCTTCATATATTCTGTGCAAAAACCATAGGCTTTAGAACCACTTTAAGTTTCAGAGTGAGGCCCTTTTCAGACAGGGCAGACTCTGTCAAGCCGATCTTTCTGCTCAGCGGGGGATCTCTCCGCTGATCCCTGCTGAGCAGACGGATGACAGGACCATGTCTGCTCCGCTATGCAGGGTGGACACAGACACAACCTGCTGTTTTCTATGGGGTGGTCGGATGGAAATGGATCACCTGTCTGTTTGCATCCAACTGTCATCCAATCTGCTGGATGGATAGGGAATGGATCCCCATCCATCTGTTTTCAGCAGATCGGATTCCGGCGGGTGTCTGCTGACACCCGCCACTCCACAGAGAACTATGGATGGTCTGATCGCCTGAAAAACTGACAGTGTGAAAGGGGCAATATTTTGCTGCCTGACTCCAGACAATTGTTTTTGTTTTGAATAGAATAGGGAAGAGTTACAATTTCCCTCACTCCCTGGTTCTGTCACCAGGGCAGGAAGGTACAGTCATCAATATAAACAGTCTAATTCTAATCCTTCTCTACCCTGCTAAAAAAAACTGTTTTGTCTGTGTCCCCATTGGAGAGTTTTTTCAACACTTCCTGCCTTGGTTCCTCTTGTTGGGCTTTAATGACTAGGTTTTTAAGGAGGTTTAAGTGATATTAAACTAAAAGCCAAAAATGTAATATATTGCAGTCATTAGATGTGGTGATTGTATCAGTTTTCTTTTCTGAGGCTTTTTTTCCCCTTCTGATTTCACCTGTTGATCTGGCCAGTAACACACCTCCTGTGTTAGAGTTCCCCCATTCTGCATGAAGGGCACGGTGGGCACAGTAGACAGCAGCATTGTCGGTCTGGGGTGGAGGGTAGTGTTAAATGTACTAGCAGATTTAAATACACTAGCCTATTGAAGCCAGTTAAATTCTTTATAAGCAGTTATAGAAAACAATTTTTTCCTTTTAGGGTTTTACATGAATAAATATAGGCTGATTATTTTAAGCACACCTGCCAGTGGTAAATGGTTTGTCTCATTCCTGTTTCATTCCACCAAAGGAGAGCTGGTCATCATGATAACATGTTTCAGGGACTTGCCCTATGACATGATCTGAGGAAGGGGCAAGTCCCTTAAACATGTTATCATGATGACTGGCTTCTCTCCTTTGGTTTGACATGGTTTGAGTGCTCCCCTTGACTTCCAGTTTGCCCTCACCAGCCCTTGTTTGGACAGTCTCTTGCCAGGTGTATGACATAACAACCAGATATGGGACACTTGACTTCCGGCGGACGCACCATCTCAGCGATCCCAGCAGCTGCCATCTACACACCCTTCCCACTGTCCTGCAGCTCCTGGGCTAAGCAACCTACTGTTGGGTCCAGGATTATGTATCATTCTTCAGCTTCTGAGAATATGTGTTTCTCCTCTTCATTGGCTTGAAGATGTATCAATCTGGGCACTCCTACATGTCATGTTTTTTAACCCAACATTAAAGTGAATTTCAATTTTAAGCTGGATTGGGTTGGGGATGCTCCTTTATTTGTTGTTTAATGGGTAAATACAGAAGCAGAAGAATAAGAGTTGGGTAGTGACTTCCCCCAAGAAGTTCAGCTCACTCAATTAGTCCTTTAGGCTCTTGACACATCACAATTTGATTGTAAAATCTTTGATTGGACAGATTAAAGCGGAGCTCCACCCAAAAGGGGAAGTTCCGCTTTAAGAACTGCTCCCCCGCTCCCCATTAAGGATTGGTACCTTTGGGGATTTGGTATCCGAATTTGACAGGTACCTGCTCCCTCTTCCGGTCCGATCGCCTAGGTCAGTGGTCGGCAAGCCGCGGCTCGCGAGCCACATGCGGCTCTTTTCTTACACATTTTAATGCGGCTCTTCTGTGTGCCGAGCGCCCGCTCCCCTCCCCTCCTCTCGGGCGGCCGCCCCAAAAGTCAGGACTCTGCAGCTAGCCCAGCAATGGGCAAACTACGGCCCGCGGAGCGTGGCAAACATTGGCTGTCAGGATGTAGGCGGGGCAGCCAGGATGTAGGCGGGGCAGCGTGATGAACGCCTCTCCTCTCACAGTCCGCCCTGAAGACCGGAACGGCGCGGGAAGACGGCGAGAGGAACGCGCGGAGCAAAGGTAAGTGAATTGACACAATATGGGGAATGAATTACTATAGGGGGGATGAATTACTATATGGGGGATGAATTACTATATGGGGGATGAATTACTATGGGGGATGAATTACTATATGGGGGATTAATTACTATGGGGGATGAATTACTATATGGGGGATGAATTACTATATGGGGGATGAATTACTATGGGGGATGAATTACTATGGGGGAATTACTTTATGAATTACTATATGGGGGATGAATTACTATATGGGGGATGAATTACTATGGGGGATGAATTACTATATGGGGGATGAATTACTATATGGGGGATGAATTACTATATGGGGGATGAATTACTATATGGGGGATGAATTACTATGGGGGATGAATTACTATATGGGGGATGAATTACTATATGGGGGATGAATTACTATGGGGGATGAATTACTATATGGGGGATGAATTACTATAATGGGGGATGAATTACTATATGGGGATGAATTACTATATGGAGGATGTATTTTCAGTTTTAAAAATGTGGCTCTCAAAATAAATTTCAATCGTGGTTTTGGCGAGATTTGGCTCAGTTGAAAAAAAAGGTTGCCCACCACTGGCCTAGGTGATCGGAAACGGAAGGTGTCCTCCCTCCTTCCCTCCCTGTAGTCTTTTGGGACATGTGACAGGTCCCAGAAGACTACATGACCATTCATGAAGCGCAGTGCTTCTCGCGCATGTGCAGTGGGTACCTGGTTGTGAAACCACAAGCTATCACAGCCAGGTTCCCACACTGAAGATGCCGGCCTCCTGGAATACAGGACGGCCGGTTAAACAAGCTGCGGGGGACACACCACGGGACCGAGGGACAGGTAAGTCGCTGTTTTTTTTTTTTTTTGATAGGTCGAGTGGAACTCCGCTTTAAGTAGATTGTCATATTACATAGTTTGAGTAGTTCTAAAGAAGGCTCTAGAAAGGTTGTACAGTCAGGCTGTAAGGTGACCCTTACAGACAAAGTTGAATTCCATAGCAATGGAAGTGAACCTGAAAATAAGAATAATACATGCTTTGTTTAACCACACCAAAAAGCTGCTGCACCAAACCAATGGAAATGAACTGCCTGATGATACAAAGATATGTCTAAACAGTTAGGGCTTGTTCACACCTGCACCTACCCTTGTCAATCCTCTGAAAAGTGATCAGTGGTTGACAGGTGGTAATGGAGGCGATTTGTCACCTCTTTACTGCATGATTTTACTCTGAAAAGCCCACCCCACCATGTGCATTATGCATGGTTTCAGAGTGGTGTCAGTGTAGCTTCATTCACTTGAATGGGTCATGTTTGGCAGCAGTATTGAGACAGAAAGGCAGGAGCACTGAGATAGGAAGACACCCAATTGCCCAAGACAAATGCCAGGACCTTCAGCAGACAAACAGAGTTTTACAAATGAGATCCTCTTATTTATTATATTCTGGGTTTTGCAGGAAATTAGAAATCGATCCGCTGCTTTCAAGCAGGACAACAATTACTTCACAGAGGCAGGGGGAAGCCAGGAGAACCTGAAAAAGAATCGATACAAAGACATTCTACCATGTGAGTATAAGGCGAGTCTCATTAACTCAGGTGGCCATAGACAGAGACACGCTGTGCCTAACCCTCAGTCTGTTCCTGTGGGAGCACAACCATTACCTGTTTTCTTTGTTTTGTTTCAGATGATCAGACGCGGGTTCCCATCACATTTCTTGGAGAAGAACTTGGCTCTGACTACATTAATGCAAGCTTCATACAGGTGATGACTAGCTACTGTTGGTAAAAAGAAGCTGTCTCTTTTTCAGTTGTCAGCTTGATGCAAGTGCTACTCCAAACCCTAATGTAATATTTAAATAACTTTCTATTATCAGCCCTACCTCTTTCCACAGAACCCGACCCACATTAAAGTGGATTTAGTATCAAGTTAAAAGGATCTTTTTCAGATTTAGCAGAGATTAATGAAACAGAGAGCTTGTATCTCGCCATGATTATGACGAAAATTGGATAATTTTGAAAAATGTGACCATTTTAGAAATGTAGTCATAGGGGATGGCAAAATGAACATGGCTCCAGAGGGATATGGAAGTGATGTTAAAATAATAAACTAAAGGCTCTTGTATAACAGTCTAAACAAGTACAAAATCCACTGAATATTAAAAATTTACTTGTGAGCCAATAAGGTGTATAATAAACAGCTTCTATCAATAAGATCGTAGGCTATCTTGCTCACCCTCATAAATGTGAGTTATCAGTGCATACAAATGAAGAAAATATAGATGCCACGCTCTATCAAGACCTATTACCTGTATATAGTATAAAAACTGTATTTGCATTAAATCTCTAATAGCTGCATGATCTTTTATGTGTAACCATACATGATTGTAATACCAATAAATACCCAAACATGTGTTGATAATAATGAATAAATGAATTAGAAAAATATATATCAAAATTGGTGATAATAAAAAAAAAAATATATAAAAGTCTGTGCAAAATTATTCAAATTTGTGTCCTTCGATGATTAAATAAATATTCAATTCAGAAATAAATATCAAAAATAATAATTGAAAAATATGGAAAATAAATAAAAGGTAAAAATTCAATGAATTTTGTGCAAAACCGCAAAACAAACTTGGTTCAGAGTTCAGCAGGGATGAAATATCTGTGTGCTCTCCTTCTAATCAGCCTGAGGTGATGCAGGTGAAGGTTGCAGATTGAGGGTTATTATGTAAGCCTGAATGGTCATATGGATTTCTCCCTCCTCAGATCTTTCCTTGATCCAGCCTTTAAAGCATTCCTCATACAGATCATGTAAATAGAGAAAAGTGCATAGTGATTGATTAAAAACAATCTGCACTTTGTATAATAGCCGCTTAAAGCGGTGAAGACCAGCCTCTCGGGTGTGCTCGCATACACTACCAGTGCTCGCCGTGTAAGGATGCGTGGTGATGTCACTGCCCCTCCTCAACGCGTATCTCCACAGGGATTCGTGGCTTCGTCCGGGGGAGTACAAAATCCAGTTACTATATGATGGACAAACTGGCAGATCAACAGGAATTTGTGGGACTTTAGCGGAAGACTAAAAGAAAACTGCAAATTCATTTAAAATTAAGTGCTACAGCACATACTTTCTCATTATTCTTTAATTCACAACAACCTGTGAGAAAAGTAATTCTTTCAAACTCGACCTAGAAAGAAATAAGGAAAAAAAGCCATATCATCAACATTCTTCTCTCAGAGTGCACCGTTCTCTCAGAGTGCACCTCTAGGCCTAGGTACAGGGGCTTTCCTGGAGCTCAAAGACTGCATTTAATGGTTTAAAATACTGTTTTTCAAATTACCATTTCTACATATCGTGACATGTCAGAAATGTATTAATGTTGACTGATGTTATAAAAAGGTCCACCTTAATATACAGATTTTTTTTTACAGGGTATAGACAATCAGCCACGATATATTGCCACTCAGGGGCCGCTAAGCCACACAGTATGTGACTTTTGGAGAATGATTTGGCAGTACCAGGTTAAGGTAAGGCTTTAATTGTAAACTAATTGATTCATGCTTGTAAAGTTAATTGATATACACCTAATGATTGTACCAAACCTTTCCCAGGTACAGTGAAAAGAAAAACTGAAAACCTTGGTCACATATCTAGGCTAAGCATTATTTGCTTTGTAAAGTGAATGCCATCCTATTACAAAGTAATCAATTCACTTTATAGGAAGCTGTACCCACTGTCCTGCACTCTCCTGAAATACCCAGTCTTTATGGTATGGAGGAACATATGAAACTTCCCAGAGAGCTTTCTAGTGGGAATAGGAAGAAGTTTGCTGAGCCCTGTGCAGGTTTAGGAAATCAAAACCTGAGCTGGAATTTTAGGGCGTTCTAATGGTGGATCAGGGTAGTGGGAACATGGTTTCACTTTAAAGCTGAACTCCAGGCACAAAAACTTTAATTGAAATAAATTCCTCAATAACCACAAGGAATAAAAATAAACTTTGTGTGCACCAAATACCTTTGGAAACTTTTTGGAAATTTTTAACTTGTAAAAGTAGTGGTGACTTCATCAGTGTGCTGTACATAGTCTGTGCAGAGAGTAGAGCTGTGGGAGGGATCCAGCAGGCAGTTATCCATTACAGGCTGCCTTCAGATAACATCCGAATGGGGTGGAGACAAGACCAATCACCCTGAACAAGGAGATAGAGCAACAGTGACCGGTCTTTATTATTTTCCCTGTACAGAGGAAAAGTTTCACACTGGATTACTGCACAGATCTAGAAGCAATACACAACACACACGAAGATTCATGTAAGAATGCATGTGGCTCTTGTATTTAGTAATATTTTCCTGTCCTTGAGTTCAGCTTTAACCGTCTCCCTCCGTCATATAAAGAAATGACGGACGGGCAGTGGTTCTCTCATTCTGGGAGGACGTCATATGATGTCCTCGCACTCTAACCGCATGTGAGCGCCTCCGGAGGCGCACAGCGCGGTGATCGGTGGTGCGCTGTGTCCCTGGGACACAGCGCATCACTGATCAGCGGAAAGAGTCGATGACTCAGTGCTGCCTATGAGTGCTGCCAATCAGTGCCACCTGTCAGTGCCGCCTATCAGTGCCCATCAGTGCCGCCTATCAGTGCCCATCAATGCCGCCTAACAGTTCCAGTCAGTGCCACCTAACAGTGCAAGTCAGTGTTGCCTATCAGTGCCACCTATCAGTGCCATATATGACTACTCCCTTTCAGTGCCCACCAGTGATGCCTGTCAATGCCCACCAGTGATGCCTGTCAATGCCCATCAGTGCCACCTACCAGTGCCTCCTCATCCGTGCCGCCTATCAGTGCCCATCAGTGCAGCCTCATTAGCGCACATCAGTGAAGGAGAAAAATTACTCATTTACAAAATTTTATAACAGAAACTAAGAAAAAAAAACTTTTTTTTTCAAAATTTTCAGTTGTTTTTGGTTTGTGTATCAAAAAATAAAAAAACCCCAGTGGTGATCAAATACCACCAAAAGAAAGGTCTATCTGTCTCAAAAAAATGATAAAAATGTCATATGTTTGCATGACCGCACAATTGTCATTTGAATTGCGACAGCACTGAAAGCTGAAAATTGGCCTGGGCAGGAAGGGGTGAAAGTGCCCGGTAGACAAGTGGTTAAAAGAAACCTGAACACACAGAATATAGGAGCTACCATTGCTGCTGACCTCTCTTTCTAAAAATTGCCTGATCCCGAGGCTTCTATACTGACTTTGACTTCCTAATCTACATGTGTACTGTGTATTGCATCTCAAATACTTCTGAAACTAACATTTTAAGAAAAGTATCATCAATGACAGCACCCCCGCACCCCCCCCCCCCCCCCCCCGTCCCCCACCATATCTCTTTTAGTACAGATTTTCTTTAAACACAGGAACAGGGTAGTGAGAACTGGACTTTGTATTCTCTTCTCAAACTTCCTCCTTTATAAGCTGTGATATGACTGTTAACATGTATATTTGCATTGCGGTTTCTTTACAAAAGAATATGGGCTCGTTCACCAAAATAACTAGCACAAAAGAAAGTCTCTGAAATACCACATTACAATCAAGCTGTTGTTTTTCTACATAAGCTTTAAAAATAGAAAGATTTTCCTGGTTCACATGCTCATATACAGTATCTAGTGCCCCACTGAACCTCTATAATTAAAGCCTAATTATGGATATTTTTCCTTAACCTTATTTGCCCTTTATTTTTTTCTGATTGTGACCCTACTAGGAAGATTTTCTCTTGCTTCCTGTCCCTGGGACACAGTACAAGAAATGGAGGAAGTAGTTGCCATCCAGGC